TGTACTCTTTCAACTGCCTATGATTTTAATTTGCATCTCTATAATTAATTAAAGTCATACTAGTCTTGTTTCATCTCCGATCTCTCAAAGATAATTGACTAGGGACATTTAGAACAATCACTATAGTTTGTCCAGGGATACAGTTGTCATATTGAACATGTAATTGTTATGATAACAAAAGAGAAATTTATTAAATAACAATGTGCATAGTACAATGATTGACCCTAGGGCATAATTTCCAACATGTATTTCTTTAGTGTTTAGTGAGGCACGATGTTGGAGATTTTTTTCTTAATATTTATGGGGGATATGACATCGGAGAGGCTAGGGGCTTGATTCCTAAAAAGGTTCCCAGAGACCTCTTTAGTGGGGTGAGGAATAACCTATATACCATCATGGAAAAAGTCACACGTGGACCCATGAGGAGATACTTGCCAGCACTGCATTTGCCAACATAAGGAGTTGGGGGCTATGCTGTTACATAAATCGTGGCCTTTATAAAGGCTTGCATGCAAACAAAACAACTTACACCAACCTTTGAGTTTTCAAGTTATCTCTACTCCTCTCTAATACTGCCTCGTTGCTGTTGTGTTCTTTAACTTATTCTTAATAATAACTAGAACATCTCTTAAAAACAAATGTCTTTCAGCACCACTTAGACTTTAAAATTACTACTTTCTAATTTACTCATTTATCATTAAATTATCACATACAACTTAATGCTAGCTAATAATATAAAAAGTACTGCTATTTACGTTTGATTATTTTGTCAATCAGTAATTACTAGTTTTTTTATTCTTTTAATTTTTGTTTGATAATATTGTATACTCACTCCATTCTTTATACTCACTCCATTCTTTATTACAAATCACCTGATGATATATTAATTAATTTTTTCTCATATTGTATCTGTAAAAGGTGTCCTAAATTAGGATTTAATTATCAAACTAATTATAGTAAATTAAGGACTAACCCAAAAGGATTATCATATAAAAGATTAACCTAAATAAATTTTTAACATGTATTTTCACAAACGATTCAATATAAAAGAATCCCAAATCTTTAAAATATTTCAAGAACTCATATCCTTCAATTAAACATATACGAAAACATGATAAAGGAAATACATCAACATGGGAGAAAAGCTTCTCCCCTTTATTTTCTCTCTCTGCCTTACTCCACAATACATATATACATATTTATAACATAACACTTGACCACTTAAACCCTTTCATAACTGGCAGCGGGGGGCCAAGGTTTCAATCACATTTATCACAATGACTATTACCTAATTATCATACTATATATATCATCTATTTATCACTAGCCCATCATATGCATGAATTTTTCCTTTTCATTCACATATAATTAATATTAACTGCTCACCCTTGGACGTCAAAAACATAAGGGGAGACCATAACAACATTCAAGTTCTTAAATTAAGCAGATAATAACTATTTTTACTTGCACAAATATTTTGGCCTATTAATATAGCACAAGCATCAAGCTACATTCCCCAGGGGCCAAAATACATTTTCCCCAATACCAAAACCCATAATGCAAGTAGATTAAGAATATATTATCTTAGTTGACAATATCATAAACTAAATACACATATCAAAATAAAAAGAGAAAGGCCTATAAAAGTGATTACTATCACTTGGCCTAATGCTCCTTTCCTCTATTCTTTTGAGATGAACTAGCTCCTATAATATGTTAAAAGAGAGAGGTGAGTACAACCACTCAGTAACCAAGGTACATCTAAGTTATACAAATGCATGATAATTAATCATGAATGCAAGTGGCCAATAAATTTATCAAGGTGACCATTCAAACAATCACATTAATAACATATTAATCACATTAACATTTAACTCATGTGAATAATTTCAAGAATAAAGTCAAGTATAAAATTTGCACAAATAGCCATATATACATTATTCGCATAATTATTACATGTTCTCATTTCTAAAATTATAATCATATTCTCAATATAGCCATCAATCACTCAAATGGCATGATAGTAATAATATGCATAATCAATCTCTTCCTTATATCCCCCCTTATTTTTTCTGACATGAAATTCGTGGGTCAACAACCGAAAGAGATCGTCCATGTGGTGAGACTACCCAAGGCCTTAATCATATCATGAGGGGCTACCGGGTCAGGGTTACCTTACTCACTTATGAACACAATTTTCCTCAAATTGCACACTATGAGGTGTCATATTCAAAACTCCAGGTAGGCCAATTAGGTCAAGTTCCTTGATAGAACAATGTTACAGTACCTTACAAGGCAAGTAGCGACTATAACCCCCAGGATTATTGGTTAATAGTCAAGTATCATATGGATTTTGCATAACCGCTGACTCCTTCACTGAGGCGAACTCCCGCCATATGATAATGCTCATGAGAAAATACATTTCAAAAACTCATATATATAATTCACAATTATCTCACATGCTCATCAACTTTCTTGCTTAACAAACATCTGACTCCTTCACTAAGGCGAACTCCCGCCATATGATAATGCTCATGAGAAAATGCATTTCAAAAACTCATATATATAATTCACAATTATCTCACATGCTCATCAACTTTCTTGCTTAACAAACATCAAGAATCATCATATTTCAATCATGCCTCTTGCATCAATTTTTATATTATCACATAAAACCACATTAGCATCATATAAAACTCAACATGCTCATACAATTTATCACTGTGCATAATCCCCAATTTATAACCAAGAGTGTACACATAATCATCAACCATCAATCTCATTACTCACACCAAGTCATAATTAACTTGGTCACAAGTCATAGAGTCTCAACAAAGCCACATGCATTATAAAAAAACCATTTCAAAATTTAGACATATATATATATATATTCTTTTATTTCACCAACATAATTAATTAAGTAACATACAAATGCATAAAATAAATTTTTCCCAGTTACCTCAACCTTTGAGAGGTTAAAGGTTACCCCTCAAGTTATAATACTTCCAAAGCTTTCCAAAGCTTGAATGATGTCAAAAGGAAATTATTCTACAATTGATCATATCCCAATGTATCAATAATATTATTAATACAATTTTCACTTATACTTTAGCACCTAAGTATTTTTTTTAAGACCTTAGTCTTAGCCTCTTGAGTTTTAAAATTTAATTTCATGTATTTGAACCTATCTACTTGGTTCAATAATCTCCTTCACAATAATTTCATTCAAATAATTTTCTAATATCAAAATTTTCCTTTTTATTCCAAAAATTTGCACATAAAAATATTTAAAAATTACAAACTTAATTTCAAGCCTAGAATCATTATTCTATGGCCATAATAATTTATTTTTTATCTCAAATAATTATTTAAATATCAATAAATTAATTTATATTTTCAAATTTAACCAAAAATTTACTCATAGGGATTTATGGATAAACTCAAATGCCTCAAATTTTAATTCTATCAATAAAATAATACTCTAGAATATTTATTACACTACAAAAAATCTCAACAACCAGATTTACTCATTAAAAATTCATCCCTCTTTCAAACCCTAGATTTTTTAAAATCTCAGAATCTACAGTCTCAAGGAAAAAAATGACTAAAAAAATATTTAAAATATTTACCTAGTTTTAAAATACTTAAAATCTTATCTGAAGTATTCTATTATGGAGTTTCATTTTTTAAATTAGCTCCCATCGACGATGCGCACTCGTTCTGTTTTTGTTCTCTCGTGCACGAAGAGAAGTGAGAAAAGGGAAGAGAAAATGAGATCAGAAGGGGTGACTGTGTTGTTTTGAAAAAAAGGGTGTGGGTCCCACATAAATTCACGTCTCTCTCTTTATGTTTTCTTCAATTTTTTTTGGCATTATTTACACCTCAATACCTAAAGCAAAAATTACTTCTCTCCTCCCTCTTCAATTGTCAATTTATTTTATGTTTCTTTTTCTTCTTCTTTCTTTCTTTTTTTTAATAATATTATCATTACTATTTTTATTTACTATAAGATCATAACTTAGGATTTTAATCTAAATTAAATTCAATAATAATCTTCTACTTAAAAATATTTATATCTAAATATTCCTCCAAAATTACTCATTTACTCTAAATTAACTTAATTAATATTAGGTTAATTTTTGAAATGTTACAGTATCTATTTAAAATAATCATTAAATATAAAATCTCTGTATTAAATTATAAAATATTTTTAAATAAAATTTCACATATTAATAAATCTCATTAAATATACTTAACAATTTTATTTTTTTAAAAATAACAATGTAAGCTTTTAAAAATATCCTTCATTTTAATATAGGAAGAATTACATCCAATGATATATATCTTATAATTATATTCAAATCACCCAATGATATAATCAACCTTATTTTTTCAAAATAACAATGTAAACCTTTGAAAATACCCTTCATTTTAATAAAGGAAGAATTACATCCAATGATCCAATAATATATCACCTGATGATATATTAATTAATTTTTTTCTCATACTATATCTATTTAGAATCATTAAATGTAAAATATCTATTTCAAATTATAAAATATTTTTAAATAAAATCTCACATATTAATAAATTTTATTAAATATACTTAACAACTTTATTTTTTTCAAAACAACAATTTAAACATCCAACAATTTTAATATAGGAAGAAACTTATTCTTTTAAATAAAAACTAACAAGTTTATATTTTCACATTTAAGAAAAAAATAAGTTCATATTTTCATTTTAACAATATTTATTTTGTAATGATTCTTATCTAATAAGTTTTATACTAGATCTTTTAGGTGTGATTCTCCCTGTAATTTTCAAAATATAATTTGGGATGGAAAGATATAAAATTTAATTTTTTAAATTTATTATTTAAATAAATTGAAAATATAAAAATAATTAAAATGCGTAGTACTCATATTAATTACATTATCTCTAAAAATATTTTTTCATGACATTTTTTTCTCAATGTTCATTGGAAAAATGTGAAAAGATAAAATTTAAAAAAATATTTAATAATTGATATAAAATGTGAAAAATGTGAAAAATATATAACGAATACAATCCCACTAAAGAAAAAAGAAGGGGAAGAACAGTAACAAAGGGTTATTGCAGATTTCAACTGTCAGGTGTCTTCTTGTCTTGTCTTCTTCACCTTCCTTCTTCCGCTGACTGCAAGAGATTCTTCGCCGGTGGAAGCAGCGCCACTGCTCCTCTCTTCACATTTGAGTACTTCCTATACACTGCCTGCAGCTTCGCGCTCGCGCCCATCGAGTGCCACCTCACCAATTCTCTTGCACAATCCCTGCGTTCAATGAATATCAACTCTTAGTAAAGTAAATATAATCAGGCCATTTCTAGGTACACACACATTTCCTAGGTACAAACATGAGCTGTTCTTCTGAGTAACCCGTATGTAGACCAAGCGTCTCGTTCCATAAGGGGCTCTTATTCAGAGTGCACCGAGCCGCGTACACTGCTGACGCCGCAACCTTCGATGGGCTGTGCGTTATCATGCTCCCGTAATTCATCAGTCCTAACTCAGCAAGAAAATGAACCGTGTTTTCCAACTGCACATATAAATCATTTATTTAATTTCCCAATTATATATATCAAAACAAACACTAACTTTCGCTCCTCAAATCTCTTCACTCACCTCCTCATCTGGGAGTGATGCCTTGATAAAACGAACCAGGAACACATAGTGCGTGGGTACTGTCAAGGTCCATTCCAGCTTTCCCAGCATGGTTTTCTCCATCGCAAGTATCTGTTCATGGGTATAAGCTCTGTCCGACAGGAAAACAAAGTCGTTGACCTGCATCATAAGAGCCAGTTCGTCTCAGTCAACTTTTAATTTCTTGTTCTCTCAAATATAGACGGTGGTCATTTAATTTACTGACTAAGCCGAGGGAAACTCCAACCTGAGGGGGCCAGATTTCTTCATACTTGGAAGCCATAAGCATGGCGCTGATGCCAACCAATTGAAGCTCCCTTCTTGGAACGATCTTGGTTGAAAGGAACCGATCTATTATATTGATGGTCAGATAAAGAGTTTCAAGCGAGAGATCGAACTTGGAGTGCACATCTATGAGCCAGTCCACCAATATTGCTCTCATCTTTTCATTAATCTCAGGCTGTGAGTGAATGTAGTCGTGAGGACGGTTCTCATTCTGCATCCCAGACATAATAATACCAATCAAAATCTCAAAATACTATAACTACAATAAGTTAGCCACAAACAGAAAGAGACATGACATGATTGATACCTCAACTAGCTTATAGAACTTGTAAATGTCTTCAATATACTCCACGGCCGCAAGCTCATTATCAGCGTCGGCCGCATCTATATGGGCAATCTGCTCCTTTGGTTTGTTGGTCACACCACATGCTGCCTGCAAGGATGTTTGCCGGGGAGGACTTGTAAATGGATAACAAAGAAGTGAACGGAAGTAGTGCAAAGTAAGGTAATTTCTCAACCTTGCTTCGAGCTGTGAGTACCGAAGTAAGAGAGTGTGGTTTCTTCTTTGAGTTTTCATCTCCCTCTTTCTTCTTGTTCACAGTCTTGTCCTTTTTAGTTTCTTCTTTCGAGTTTGTTTCAGCAGCACCTTCATTCCTAGGTTTAACAGAGACTATTTTCTGAGCAGGCTTAGGCGCGGCTCTATTAGCAATCACATCGAAAACAGGAGGGGGTCCACCGACATTTGCACAGGCTTGTTTCTGCAGTTTGACAAGCACCCACCAAATGCAGAATCATCATAATCCGAAACTAAAATTGAAGAGTCAAATTGAAGAGAGAGAAATCAGTAATAGAGAGTTAACCTTGTTGTTTACAGCAGCAGCTTGGGCATTAGCAAGTAGCTGGGCTCGGAAGCTCCTAAAAGAAATAGAAAAAGAATGGGATTGAGTAATAAGTGGCAGAAGAAAACAAACAGATAGAGAGAGAGAGAGAGAGAGAGAGACCTGGTGACGGGACGGTTGGGCTTGACGACCTCAATTCCTCTAACAGCCACCTGATTTCCTATGTCGCCAAGGGCTCTGCGACTTCTTCCCTCCACTGCTCCATTTTTCTTCTGCTGCTTTACTCCTCCGACCACTGCCTCTCCTATACATGATTGATATTCACCCCACGCGTAAGTACATTAAGGAGGTGAGATTAAACAGCAAACACGAAGAGAGGAATCCATGAGATTAGATGCATTTCATTAAAGTCCCTTAGAAATCACGTTTGAAATATGCCCAAGAGAAAGAAAATCCCAAGTACCTATGTATAACCAAAGTTTTAACCGAAGGAAAAAAAACCCGAGATAAGGAAAGCAGAAAAGCGAACTACCTCTGACTGCTTGTTGTGGAACAACGGTTCTAGTGGCCATTTGGAACTTGAAGAAGTAGTCTCCTTCTCTCTTTGCCTCTCTTTCTCTCTCCCTCCCTCGCCTTTGCCTGACGAACGCGATGGAGAAGAGGGGGCAGCGGAATTCCCATTCCTTTTGAAGATGTGGGGGAGCGACGCTTCCCTTTCCAACGGTCCTATTTTTCCAAATTCTATACCGTTGGATCCTCAAGTACAATCCGACGGCGCAGCGTGACTGATCTTTTTAAGCCGTTGGAGACGTGCAAGTCATCGCATTACGTGTTAAAAAAAAACAAAACAAAACAGAAAACAAAAGGCAGTGTCATCCTTAATAAGGATGACCTGAGTTGCATGCAATGTCTATGTTACCCCTGTCAATTGAAGGCACGTGGGCGTCATTTTGTTTTTTTAACCAAAATCCTATTTTGATTCTGTAAGAAAAGGATAGGTTCTCTAGTCAATTAATAATTACCATATGTAACGGTGACCGGATGAAAATTAATCAGAAAAATAAAATATACTCCCCCTTCTTAATATATAAGAGATTTTTTAAAATTTTTTTATCTTTAAATATAAAATATTATTAGCATATTTTTTAATGAACGAGTTATTATATCCTTATTAAGTTAAAAAGAAAAAAATAAGAGTTTTCATTAATTTATTTTTAAAAAAAAATTTTTTCATTTACAATAATTAGAGGTAAAATTAAAATATTACTATACTTTTAATTAGATAATTAATTTTTATTAATTTGCGTAATTCAATTAAAAATATTTAATATATAGGGATAGAGGGAGTATCATTTTATCTTATTCACTTTATTTACAATAAATTGAAATAAACATATTATAAGTAACACTAATTCATAAACAATTAAAAAACAAGAAACATCTGTGAGATCAAATTGAAAACAAAACGAAAAAATGACTGCCCACACTAAGAAATACTTCGTTTTTGAGAAATCAATTTAGAAAAAGTACTTTTAAAAATAATAAAACAAATGTTCCATATATAAGTTATTAAAATAAAAATTTATCTCGTTTCAAGGTTAAAGTGGCGTCTCCCTAGTCACCAGTTACCATTGTTATCATGAAGCCTCAGAGGAAACATCGAAAGGAGAAGAAAAGAAATGACAGAAAAGGTACTTCATTTTTTTGGTTGGATTTGTTATTGCCTAATTTTTTCAAAGTTTTTGTTCAATTTTTGTTTTATGGCCAATCCAAACCCTTGGATATTTATTCGTTTTTTGACTTTCTTAAGTGCACCTTATCCAAACTGTAATAGCGTAGTATGTGAGTTCCCCATACGAACCATTATCATCGTGAAGACTGAAGAGAGCTACCCAGTACCCGCGCTGGTGTTTTAGAGCTGACTGCCACGCGGCATATTTAGAGAATAGAATAATCCGATCACGTATGTGTCAAATATTAGAGTCTACATACAAGAAAGCAACCAGCAGTGACATGCAAATCAGTCACCATGAACAAATGATCTAATGATTATAAAAGCTGAATTTGCTACAGCATTTGATTAGGCAAGTTTAAAAAACCCATGCCTAAAACAACAAACCACAGCCCAATTAGTGGAAGCCCCCATCACAAAAACAACCAAAGGCATATATATATTCCTTCAACAAAACAAGCCCACATGTATGTATATACTCACACTAAAAATGATAAGTCTCACTTTCTGTTGAGACTCGGTCAGTAAAGTTTGCCCCTATACAAGATCCTCAGGCCCAGCAAGCACCACCTGTGACAAAAAGTGCCAGACCAAATACTAAGTACGGAAGTCAGGAATTCATTTCAGCATGAAGCAGGAGACTCTCAAGTCAGAAAAGAAGACTCACATTGCAATCAAGAGCATATTTCCTGGCAACCATAATGGCTGCATTCCTATCTCTTTCTGATTCAAATGTTAATACAAAGGACAGCCCCTTCCTCGCTTGCCAAAACAAGGCCTTTGCTGCGTTGCTGGTATCGCTTCTAACTCCACATAGCTACGGTTTAAAGAAACCTTGTGGTTAGTTTAAGGGATCCATTTTTTGCACACAACTTTAACAGTGGAAGCCTCATCTCAAGTTGTGGTTCATAGATGAACTCGATGGACGTTTTTGAAAACGATGCGGCTTTTAGCTTTCAGTTCTGCTTAATAGGCAAAATATTTACCTGCATGGATGGGGAGTAAATTTCTCTAGCTTTTGTAATCCAACCTCTAGATAACTTTATCCTCATTCTCCCCACATTAAATGCATGAACTGAATGTGATGAGTGATCTTGTCCATTCATTTGAGAAATGACAACCTGTAAACGACCAGATATTTAGCACATCTCAGAAACTTCTCTAGAGAACCAGCACCGCATTTCAGCGAACACAGCAAACTGAACTACATGCAAGCCTACATGGACCAACAAAAATATTCTGCATCACTGTTCATCTGTTCCCATAACACACATGCTTGATTTCAAATTAAGATTTGGCCATGTTTTATCTTGCCAGGTGCCCAGAAGCCCATTACTCTTGTTCTACATTCCACTATTGTCTATTTTGCCTGAAACAAACAAATTACAGTAGTAAAATTGAGAAAAGATAACTTACATTAAATTCTGTATTAGATTTTCGAAGAAGTGAGTCCACATGGCTTCTAAGTCCTGAAACTGTTAAATAATAGATTATCAGAAGTTAACCTTTCAGATGGAAACAAATGATGAAGAAAAAGATAAGATCCATATTCAGAACCAACCAGTTTGAATAGGATTAGTTGTTAATGTGACTTTTTTGCCATTGGAGACAATGTCTACTTGTAAGATTCGCCCAACATCAGAGGGATCTGGAGAATATATTGATCTGTTGGCACCTGATAAATAATGGCAACCAAGACCACACACGGAACAGAACAAAATTCAGAGTTTCGGAGGATTATTCAGTTGTTGAAGCTCAGTCAAGGAAAGACAGAGTTAGAATGAGAAAACATACAATCTCACTTGGATCTAAATTGGATTCACACATCTGTGGAAATTGTCGGAGGCATCATTACATTTGCCTTTTAAAGAATTAACTGGACCCGATAAATGGCAGGAAATATTTGGTGAAAACTTGAAAAGACATATGAGACTTCTAAACTACGGGCTACCAACAAAAGAGAATAGCTGGACCCGATAAATGGCAGGAAATATTTGGTGAAAACTTGAAAAGACATATGAGACTTCTAAACTTCGGGCTACCAACAAAAGAAAATAAAATGACATTTACATGAAGTATCCTGTAGGACAAACCACTATGAAGCAAAGCCGTGTTAGCAAGGAGAGTTTATTGAGCTATGCAGCAAAAGATACATCAAAATATTAACAATATTAGTTGTGAGTACGCACCCAATAATTTTACACACACCAGTTGACCTAAAACAAAGCATGAAAAATATATCTAGTAAATGTAATCAAGAATGGCAGAAAAATACCTGAAATGACCTCTCTCCAGCTGCCTTCAGATGACAAACGATACCACTGGAACAAACATTTCGATGTCTGTGGCACTTCATCCGAGCAAGGGTGCACTTGCAAGTACGAACCTAACGTTTCAGAACCATCTAACTTGTATACACTGGATTGGTTCTCATTCTTCTTGCTCATTGTGAGCTGGAAAGACCAAAACAAAGTTATTACATGGAAATTTTATTCAAGTACATTATATGTCAAGTTAATATGTAACATTTGGTTCATTTAGATAAGTTCGAGGAAAACTCTGAAGAAGAACTTCCACATTCACTCAATTGAAAACCAAAAAAAGGAGGCATATTCCATTATCTCCGACCCATGAAACAGAAAAAAAAATAAAATAATAATAACTGATTAAAACATGTGGCCACTTCTGAGAAAAGCTGATTGTAACCATTCCCTCCCTATCAATACTGTTCACACTAAAGGCTTAGATTCTATATAGACACAACTGTCATGGGTTATAATTTTTAGATTGTTCAGGTATTGGAGGATTAATAAAATGTAAATTAATTAAACATATACTATTATGCAGCTGAAAAAATAGAAACCGCTTAATCAAATCCAGCCATATTGAGAATAAACTTTGTCAAGCGAGTGAAAACTAGATATCAACACACCTCTTTCTGAAGCTTCATTGAAAAAAGGGATTTTTCTCGAATTTGATCTCTCAAAGCACGAAGCTCATGTTCCATGGCCATCACCTAAAAGCAAATCCGGTTAATGATCGTTTATCCATCACTTTACGAGTATTTCAACTGGAAATACACTTTAGTTGATAAGAAATTAAAACCATAGCACAAGAAAAGATGCATAGCCTTGCCAAAAATAGGTAGTCAAATAAAACCACTACTATATCATGGTTTATAATATAATTGTGAGCCTCTAAAATTTTATTTCATTTCATCACATTTTCCTTGAATTTTTAATATATTTTGGCAAAATTATACATATTGTGAATACTCAAGTTAGGAAAATGTGTACATTGTTTTGGTATTTTCAAGCTAATTTATGTTATTATTGTTTAATGTTTGGTTGGAAGCATTTCTGGTCTTTTGTTGATGTTTTTGGAAGGTTTTAGGATAAAGAAATTAGGGGCAAATGTGATTAGTCATGCTAAATGGAAGAAGCATACAAAACTGAGCAAAGTCGCGGCTTGCTCATGACTTTTGCCATTGATAGCAAAGTGAAACATCTTGATTGGCTAAAAAATTAGGGCTTGATGTATATACGCTGTTGGCTCAACCAAGAATGTATTCTACACATTTGAAGTTACTTTGGGAGCTTAGCTGTTCTAGAATTTTGGCTTTGGGTAAGTTGGGATCAAGTGATTGAGGTTTTGAAAACGTTTAAAGCTCCATTTCTTCAACTTCTTCACTTCTTCATTTTTCTTGTAATCTGATATGACTATGAATGTTTTGTGCATTTGTAACTTTTTGATAATTATGAGTGGCTAAATTCTTTGTTCTAAGATTATTTTAAATCCTTATATAGATTAGCACTAATTTTTTCCTCTCTTTTTGTGATTAATAATATATAAGTGTTTATTTTACTCTTTTCTTGATACATCTAAATGATTGGCCACCATTTAATTGATTTGTTCACTTCGGTGATACTTAAGAGTGTTAGTTTGAGTGTAGAACTTGAATAAAATAGTGTAAGAACTTAAAGTATGCATGATAAATGAATAGTTTTGTTAATAAGATAGAGATATACTTACTCATCTTGCATAACTACATTAAGGTTGAAGCTTAAAATTAGGTTTTATTAATTGCAACAAGAAATTGGGTAATTAATTTAATTAAACATTTGTTCATGACTTGAAAGAGCTAGTTTAAGTACTCTAAGTTAACACTTATTTTCATTAAAAATATTTATAAGAGGTAATTTTAGTGTTATGATATATAAAAGGGATAAATAATCCTAGATCTCAATTTGTACTTGAAATTTGAGATTCATTTGTTTTTCTTTATTTTCCAATTTTAATATAATTTGGAAAATCAACTTTGCCCAACTTATTGTGTTTTGCTCACCTAAATTGAGATTGCAAAGTCTTTTGCCTGATCACTTTTTTTTAAACAAATATCTGATCACATTTTTTAAAACAAATATATGTGGAACGATATTTACTCACACATTATTACTTGTCAAGGCTGTGTACTTGCGGATTGCAACAATAATCAAGCAAAAAGTAGCTAAAACAAAAATGAGGGATAAAAAAGCAGTTACCTTGCTTGGATGATGCAACAATTTGATTCTTCGAGCCTCCTGAACCTCCTCTACCAGTTCTTCCACATCCTGCCAGTGAGGAAAATCAGATCAAGCATATTTGCCTAAATGGTAATAAATGACTAGAATCGCATATTTACAGAGGATTCTCAGTGATTCCCGGTGTTCAAGTGCCATCATAAACTGAAAGGAAAAAATAAAAGGACAAGAACATACCACGATAATGTTCAAAAGGAACCACTCACAATTTAATAACAAAGTATTCCCTAACTGGTTATCAATGAACTGCTGACAAGTTGTTAGTCAAGCGTCACCGACAGATTAAGAACATTCTCGAGAAAACATTAGAAGAAGCAACGATAAAAGTCTAAAGTATAACTAAAATTATAAGTATGGATCAATTCAATAGCAATTAAAAAAAAATCTCAAATAACAGTAGTATAAATAGCCAAGCTTGCAGGTTCATAACCTAGGCTTTGTAACTTATGCTGCTTCAAAATTCATGATGGAATTTTTTCATGCCAATCTTATATGATATCAACCTGGGAAATCAAGCTCCCAGATTCTCTTAAAGTGCCATTAATGGTAAGGACGCCTTTAGAGAATGAAAAAATTGGTAGCACTGTAGCAGTTCTCTTCACCATATAAAAAATGAACCTCTCTTCTCTTTGATCCAAATTCATAGCAATTCGTTCCCATAAATTATGCATGCAATCCTTCCCTATGCCCCGGTATTATATTATAGTGCAGTGTAATGTTTAATTATGGAACCATTTAGGAGACCGTTGCAGCCAGACATGAATAGGCATGATTATTAATCAAAAGTAACCTGTCTCTTAGAAGCTTGGAAAGCTTTTTCCTGCTCCTCAAGGGCCTCCCCAATTCTCAACACTACTGCTCCAGCACTCTCAATTTCAGCACAAGCAAAAGACTTCTCTTGATTAACAAGTTTCTTAGCATCTTCAGAAGCCTGTAAAACAAAAGTAAAAGTCAAGAAAACACTTTGGAATGGAACAAAAATGCCATTGAAAATGCATGATTAACATTACTTTTTATAACAAACTATTTCCGCCTTAAATGATTAAATCAATTCATTGATGAGCTACTTTGTAGTGGTTGGCCAATGAATTAAGAAATCAAGTAACATTGAAGTCCAGAAAAAAATGATTATCTGGACATATACATATTCATCGATTCTTTCATCTTTCTAAACTCAATTGTAAATCATCATACTCATCAAACGCATTCAGATCAGTATTTTATAGCTATTTACACAAAGCTTAGATGCTATGGAGGACCTGTTTGAGAAAGTTCACTAGCTTATTCACTTCAAACTTCTCTTGAATTAGTTCTCCTTCATTTTGAGTCAGCTTAACTGCTAAAGCTTCCACCTGCATGGAATCAACTGTTCATGATGAGTACTCAGGATTATTAAGATGGAATTGAGAGAGGGATGAGAATGAATTTCTTTGCACAATCGGAAGAAACAAACGCCTCAACCTATATGGAAAAGGAAGAAATTGGAAGGAACACAAACGAAGTGCAAAACATTCATCAATCTGGATGATCCTTTTTCTCTATTTCCATACATTTCCATTCTCCAGTCAGCGAATGTTTAACACCGGCCTTTTTAAAGATTCTGAACAGAGTAATGTAGTCAATATAATTAAGTTGCCTCAAGAAAACGAACCATAGAAATAGCTTTCTCCACATCCTCCTTATGTTTTCCTTGCAAACGGCCTTTTAAAGATTCTAATGCATCTCTTAGCTTTTTTAAAAGAACATGTCCCTCCAAAGATGGTATCTCTCTAAGCTTCGCCTGAAATCAGTTGAAAAAAAAAAAAAAAGAAAGCATCCTCCATATTATCATTTGAATTTGATAGAAAAATATGGCCCAGGCGAAGTGCGAAACTTAAATGAAGGATATATGAGTATAAATGACACAAGTACCTCATCAGCCAACTTAGCAGCTGAGGCTAAGTTCTTGTCAAATTTGCTGGCAAGGTCACGAACTGAGAGTCGTTTGTGCTGATCTGACAAGTTAGATACTTCTTGCTCAATCACCTCCTTCAAGGAAGGCCCATGGTTTTCCTCCATTGGCTCTTCCACAATTTGGTTATCAGGCCCTAGTTTATATTTTGGAAAACTGTTGGAAACAAAGCTCACATCAGCTGAAACAGGCGGAACTGCTTCCATTGGCATCTTGACTTTGACTTCAGGGCTTATCTTCGTCATGGCTCTGTTATGTGTTCTGGGGAAATCAAAATGCAATATTGTATAGCGACATCAGTTAAAAAATATCTCAACACTGAATCTAAAGTAAAACACAGTTCAAGATCAAGACACAGGAACTTTTTTTTATGAGAAACCCCAGTCAAGCTCAGCTTAGTTAAGTTCGGCTATGGGCAAATGGCAAGAAGGTGAAAACATGAAAAGGTCCTGACAGTTAGGAAACGAGTTGGGGTATGGATGGCTCATTCTTCCTGAACCCATCTGCTAGACGAGATGCTCCTATCCCAGGAAACAAAATTTATAGCACTAAGTTGAAGAAAATTCTAGCAGTATATTATTTCTTGTTCCCCTCCTAATAACTTACATTTTCCAAAAGTACACCATCAAAGTAAATTTGAGTTCGTGCAGCAGTTTCTAGCCGCTAAAAAAAGTGTTCATTGACGATCCGTCACTGCTCAACAAACGTACCAAAACAGAGAAATGCAGAAGAATCTTTACCGCGGCTGAGTTAAGCCACGCAAAAAAGACAAAGAAAGAAAGGAAAATTGCAGACAATGATGCAGACGCCTGCCAATAATAAGAAATATAAAAAGGCAAAATGAATTATAAGAAGGTATTAATCTGAGATCATGGAAGAGAATTGTCAGCCAGGAGGTGTGACTTCGGTGGTACGGGCAACCATTAATATACCAACTTCTCAACTACATTCATAGTATTATGTGCCCTCCTTGGCAATTTCAATTAACGTGAGAAAACAATCTTCACTTTCCATCAATAAATGGAAACAAAATAGAAGAACATTAAAGCAAAGAAAGCACCAGACGTACTTGCAGCTACAGCAGCAAACAAAAAAACACGAAGACGAACAGCATGTAGCATCAGAAACATCATAAAAGCTCGAGAAAAAAAAAATCATTACTTGCGACAAATGGCAAAACCCAGATGCGAACTAAGAATGCAGCCGAGGTCGTTTGTTAGAGAATTTACACTCATTCACTAAACTTTGATCATAACATAGAGCTATGTTTATGGCGTGCCTCGCTGAGTGATTCTTTGACAGCAAAAGAGAGGGAGAAAACAGCCAAGTCAAGGACAGAGAAGGAGGAGAAGGAGAAGAATCTAAAGGATGGTATTTAGCATTGCTTTTTCAAAAGGTAAAAGAAAAGCTTCTGTGCCAGGCTCGTCTGTCTCCCCTCCCAACGACTTGAATCAGCGTGTCCTTCCTCCTCCATCATCCTATGTTACCCCGTTAAAAGCTCTCAAGGTGATACAGTAAAAAGTGAAGCCACGCGCTGTCCCCACACCCCTCCGTGGGTCCCGGTTAGTGGTTTCTCGTATGAGCTGTGCATGACCCACCTGCTCACTAGTGAGCCGCGCGCGTGCCCTCTGGTATTTTTTCGTAACAAGGGGGGGCAAGTATTTGGCGGGATGTCGTTCGTTGACTGGTACGTTCTCCTCCATGACCCTTGCTGTTCCCAGGAATTACCAAAATGACACCACGCGATGAAGCGGAGAATACCAGAATATCAACTACAAGCCGAAAAACAAACGTCGGATAAAGAAAACGACAAAATATCAGTTTTCTTTATTTTTTTCCCCACCAACCGTGACATTGGCAGTTTTTTTTTTTTTTTGAAGTCAGATATTGGCAGTTTTACAGGATCGGTGGATCCATAAAATATTAAAAAAATATTATAAAAGAATAATAATATATGTGGATTGGAATGACTCCCTCGATGCTCGTCTATTTCACTTTTAACTTGATTGATGGTTTTTCATCCTTTCACGTTCCCCTCCCAATGAGCTATACAATTAACGGGTAATTCTGAAATGTTGTGAGAAATTTTACATTGAACTGACTTTGATTAATTTATTTAAGCTCAGAAAAATGTATAAGAGAGAAGCGAATAGATGAAAATGAAAGATGATACCGGAAAGTAGGCCGCGAAACTTCCGAGCTACCAGGGATCAGTCGTTGTCTCGGTTGTTTTATTTACGTGCCCTCTATTAATAAATTAGTTGAGCCTTTAGTGAGAACTAAATCTCGAGATGTAGACATTGTTATACAGAAATGGAAAGCTTCCCTTTTCCGGTGGCTTTGTTTAAACGGCGAAAGGGCGTTAAAAGCACAACAACAAAAGCCATAGTTTATAGGTGGGATTTGATGATAATGGCATTGGCTATTATGCGAGTTGGAGTTAGAAGAAAGCGAAATCATGCCTCTTCAAACACTGTTGGAGTAAACTCGAATATTAATGATATTTAATACGAGATGTTAATGGAAGCCCAAAATGGATAGAGCATATGCTTATTATCAAAATAAAAAAATAATGAAATGATATGATAATGTTGATTGAGGAGAGGGAAGGGAACTGGGGAAGCATCAAAGTGGCTTGGGGGTGAATACTGGGGATAAGGGACCCCACGTGCCGTTTTGACATCAAAATCAGACGCAGCATCGAACCGGACCATGACTGGTATGATTCTCAGATCTCTCAATATGTCTCTCGCTATCTCACTGTTATTTTTATTCACTAAAGCTGACTTGTATAGCTATACACCAACATGGAAGATGGAACAGATCCTAATCATTCATTTATATAAAATAAATAATGAAAGGCGCGTGTCGTCGTCCAGATGAAGGCAACCCCTTCCAATGATGGGCCTGTTAAATCATGGATTATTATACTAATCATCGTTCATTGGTTATGTGTAAAAAGCCCCTTCTGGAAGCCACTCTCTAATTTCCCACTCGGCTTTCTTTTTCAATATCCGAAGCCTTTTGCTTGCCGGATTTTCTAGTCACACTAAACTTAATGCAACTGAAGATAATAATACTGATTACGCATTGTAGTGGACAATTTGTGGGGACTCTCAAACGTTTTTTTTTTTTTTTGGCTGTTGTTAAGCCACACTGTCTCTGTACTTTCTGGAGCGGTCCCAACCAAACTCAGCTCAGGACCAAGTAATCTTACATGTGAAATTTAAACTAATATGTATGTGTATATACTATTTACAGGTTATGAATACTGTAACTTACTTCATACTCTTGTTAATATACATGTAGAAAGCATTTTGCTTAGCCAGTATATGATGTAGCTCTGCGATATCAGATGAACCATGAGCAAGAGAGGAAGTAGAAGGAACGAGATGGAGGCCGGTGATGGGTGGGGATCGATTCAAAAATCAAAATTAAAGCTCACAAGTCTTTTATCTTTTTTATTTTCTCCTCTTTTATTAGCCACCTTTTCAATGGATTTGAATTTATTTACGCCATTATGAAGCCTTCAAATTTCCCCTCTTGTAATATGGGGCATCCTATCCACATGGTAGGGTCCACCTTCAAGTTTCAACCCCACCCACTCCTCTCTATTTTTTTTTTCCCTCTCTCTTTCTTCCGCGTTAGTAAAAATGAAACATATGATGCGTGTCTCTGTGTATCGTATTATATATCTTTCTTTTTCAACTGTTCATAAAAAACTCATAATCTTCTGACACTCACATCTCGTTTCGCTTGTGATTACTGCTCCTTCTGTCGCTTTTGTCACCACCTTATTTTTCACACGTATCATGACACATGCATGTTGCAACTTACATATCATCCCGAGAAAATTAAAGCAAAATTGCTTATTAGACTTTGGTGCTTCTGATCATGACTTAGCTTCACGCTGTGATTAATTAATTGCGTATTAATTTCTTTTTTGTCAACGAAAATGATGTCATTGTCAGCCTCACGGATTAACTCAGACATATTATCTACTTAAATCCAGAGATAAATAATTGAATTTAAAATTAAATAGATGCAGGCAGTCAAATAAAATTGTAACAGATGGACTAAGGACAGCATGAAGAAAGTCAGGCCAAAAACTAAAAATGCATCAAGAGTGTGCAAGTGAACTGGCAAGACAGTGACCCTTAGCTAACTCTTCGACTCGACGAGCCAGGCCGCCGTGCTATTAAATCCATTGTAAAATTGATGACCACCCAATTTGACACGCACGCGCACACGTGATTATATACAGTCTAGCTAGGTTGAGCTTTGAAGGAGAAGCCACTCTCACATCACAATTCACAAGCACATGCACCCCTTACTTAAATAATTAAACAGATTGTTGATTGTTGATTCTGGCTGCTGCTGGCTACTTGAATATATATGTGCAGTGGATAACTATGCCACCACGGTCAAACTTTCGGTAGGTATACGTACCCTCCCTATTAAATAAGTCAACCACTCAATTCATGAAGTTAGTCAACCTTTGTCATTTTTTGGCCAAAAAAAAAAAAAAACCTTTGTCATTTTGCTTTACCTTCGCTTTCGCATTGTTAATTGAACTGATGAATGGGTCACGTACATTAATCTAAAAGAAAGAGGTGTGAAGTATAGGCGTGCAATCAATCTCCATTTCCCCTACTCGGCTCCACACACCATGATTATATATATTTATTCATATTAAAAGAAATAAATGAAATAGAGGGGAACGAAGCAATTTTGTTTTGTAGATAAATCATAAAAGAAGCGGGATCTCTCATGAGCTTGTGTATCGGTAGGGTATAGCTGTTGTATAACCCACCTGCATGCTTGGTTTGCCAGCACTTTACTGGGCCCAGAGGTTATATTTTATGTTCATTTTTTCTCAACACAATGTATATTTGTGTTAACCTGACATCTCCCATGAATCAAGAAACGGCCAATTCGCCCTTTTCTTCCCCCTAACAAAACAAATACGCATGCTTGAATTTTTATTAATTTACATACGGATTCATACATTACTTTTCTCCTCCCTCCAGTCTTGTAACTGGCTTGTGTATTTATGCAATTTCAGAGACATTAACTTAATTTCTCTTGCACAAGCTGTAAATATTGAAGCCCAGTCTAGATAGCTATCAAATCAGGGCCTGCTCCAGAATAACGACTTCAATTTTCTCACCTAACTAATCATTTTTTCATATGGTTATTCGATATTCCAAGGAGGGTTTTTAAAAAATATAGAGAGAGAGAGAGAGGGGTGTGTGGAAATATGAATGCAAAAAATTCAAAAGAAAGAAAGTAATTATTGTAGCTATTGGAATTGCACTGGGTGGAGTTCACTTACCTTTCAGGTTGCATGCTTTTGCAGCCAGCTTCATTGGATTCAGCAATTCTGGACGGGGTGAAATAAGAATTTGTTAGATTTTAGGCATATTCATCTTTTCTGGGTTGAATCTGAGCTATGTGACGGTACTGGTTATAATTTGCTAAGCACTTTGATTTAGGATATAGCTACTTTGTTTCTTCCATTGAATGACAAGACTATTGCTCGGTGCAACTCCACTTATTGGATGACTTTAACCAGTTTCTTTTACCCATAGTTAGTGTAGTCATTTAATGTTTGCTTTTCTTTCATTTTATTGTATATATTTGTCCGCTTTATTTCAAAAAGAGAGGGGGATCTACGCCAGCAACTTGCAAGTGCAATTCTGCCAGTACAAACGTGGCCCAAATTGGTTGGGTTGGGCTCGGCCCCTCGAGTTTCTAGTTATGTGAACAACTTGGCTTTGTTTTTAATTAAACATGGAAAACTTCCGGTCTAATATGTCATTTAAGGTAAACAATTTAAAAAAGCTTGTTTCCGAATTTTCTTCCCGTCTCGTGTATCATGCCTTTAAACTGACAGTTACAGCATGGCGGTGAATAGCAGCGGATTTAGCTCTTTCTAATCTTCTTCATGTTTTATGCCTGTCCTCCCAAAGACGCTTCGTTAGCGCCGGCAATGCGAATTTGTGATTACAAATTGAACATAAAAAACTGGGCAGCCATTAGGAACTTGCGATCATCATCATTGTTTTAAAAAAAATGTGATTGGAGTTTTATTAACAAGAAAAGGTATGAATTAGGTGAACGAACGTTGTCATGGTTAATTGCCTAAATCAAGATCATTATTAAACGAGGAGTATTAGAAGAACCGTCCTTGAGATTGGCGTTTGTTTGAATAATAAATTTAAAAAAAAATTAAGAAAGCAAGCTGTTATGATGGTGGAAGTGATATGAGAATTGTGGGTGAATTGAATCTAATGAGGAGCAGTTGAGACTAGATACACTCTGATACTTAAACTCCATCTCAAGCAAGCATCCGCATCAACGCACCACATGGACGACCCCCCCCCCCCCCCCCCCCCCCCCCCCGGGGGGGAAGCATTCCAAAGCTGGTTTCCTTTGACACGGACCCTAGACCACTCAGATCTGCACATGC